TTTTTTTTTTTTTTTTTTTTTAATGTCAGGACCTTTGAAGTATCAAAACTTATTATTGAACACAACTGTTTTGAAGCCTCCAAAGGAAAGCTGCATCAGTGTTCATTATCTGCAGCTATTATTCCTGGTGAGCCTATAGATAGCAACAAAGAGCAACAGGTCCTAGGCCTGATTTTACTACACACAAGTAGGAAATAATCTTCCTAAGTCTGTTAAAAGCTCCTTGCAGTGCTTGGTGCATCACCCTGCCCCCCGCGCCCAAAAGGCTGATTTCAGTAACCTTGCATGATTCTTCCTTTCTTTTCCTGGAGAAAGGAAGGATGGTATTCCTACCTAGAATCCCTCCCACCATGGTATCCCTCTCCTAGAATATGTATCACATTTCTAAAAAGCCAACTGTAGAAAAAAGCCAGGTGATAGGGCATTACTGCTCCAGAACTGTTTCTCCTGTTGAAGATGCTGGGTGTCTTCCACACCCTCTGCGCTTGTGGACAGAGAACTTGCAGAAAAGCCCAGCTATTGGCTGAGGTTGTTAGTAGCTTCAGCCTTCAGTGGGCTCAGCTTCCTCCACATCAGTTGGTATCAAGACTGGGAGTCTGTCCAGAGGACATGGTCCTCATGGTCAGAGTAACAGCCTCTATTCTCCCTTCTTAAGGAGTACACATGCTCCTGGTTTGCTGAGAATCCTAACATGTCCTCTAGCCCCTTTCAGCCCTGGACTCGGAGATCTTCTTAGGGCTCAGCCTATCCTCAGAATATGCTGGACAAGAGCTGACAGGAAGTGGCTTACACATGTTCAGGCAAAAAAGACGTGTTTTACACAGCAACTACTCTTAACTATTACAGCAACTTTCCTGCTCAGCTTGTTCAGTATCTGGTTTCAATCTTTAAAACAGTCAAGTCTTAATTGGTTATAAAACGGACAATGTTAAGACTAAGTTTCATTTTCTCAGGACCCAAGGTTCAGTCTGCCCATGCCATCCCTGCCTGTTTTCGAGCTCCCTTTCTCTATCCTCAACATGCCTTCCATAACAATAGCCAGCATTTATTCAGCACTTAAGTGTTGAGCCCTGTCCCCTGCTCCAGCCCTCAGTGCTCCTTAGGGTTGGTGTCAGGCACGGTTCAAGGCACTGGTCACTTTGGGCTCCTGTAGTTAAAATGGAAAAGGTAGCTAAAATATAACAAAGTTATTTTTACTGTCACCAGACATGCAGTTTTCCACAATGTGCAGCATCCCAGAAGTCCTTTGGGCCTCTGAATTGCACAGTGGCATGACCAGTGGGGGCTTGTGCTACCTTCCCAGGTGGACACATTAGACTATAAGCTCACTGTTCTGTGGGTGGGGGGATGACTGAAGCCTCATATGCTACTCTGTATACTTAATGACAGGACCTGTCAGCTTCTGACTCTTCAAAGGAGTCAAAGAACAGAGTCTGAGAGGGAGACATTTCGGCTCAGGAGCAGCTGTGGGGCCTGACATGGTAAACCTTGCTGGCTTAGTTTAGATTCCAGGTTTCAGCCAAAAATACTTAACCCAGTGTTATGTGCTGGTATAACTCTCCAAGGAGAGGGAACAATGGCCATTTCTCTGTGGCTTCAGAGGCAGACGATCTTGGCTCAAAGCCAGCACTGGTGCTTACTAGCTCTGTAGGTAAGTTGATTAACTTCTCTATGCCTTAGTTTCCTCATCTGTGGACTGGGGATAAGAACAACTAACTCACGGAGTTATTGGGATGACTAAATGAGTTAATCCATGGAAAACTACTTTGAACAGTGTCCGGCACAAGTACCCAATAAATGCTAACTGTTAGTACTAACAGTGGTAGTAATAACATCACCCAGCTCCTTATTACCTTGGTATGTGTGTGTGTGAGCACCATCCAGTCAGCTCTCTTCAGCCTATTCTAAGGCAAGCAGCACGAGGCCCACCTCCACCTCCATAACCTTGACCACAGCAAAAATTTATTAATAACATATAAGGGAAAGACTCTTAGATTTGAGTCAGAGGTTCGGTGCTGAATCTGTACAAGGACAAGTCATTTTTCCTCTCTTGTCTGAAAAATGGGATACTGATCTCAGTTATAATGGCTTCCTGGTGTGGCTGGCAGGCATGAGAGGATTTTGTCAGCAGCTGAGAACTTGAACAGACAGGACACATCACTGATCACCTGGCTCTGGGCTGGGCGGTTTTTGGCATAATATTCCCTGAGGCCTCTCTGCACCTCCCAAGAATCTATCCTGCTCTTTTTCTCCCAGCCAGTGTTAGTGTTTTCTTGGTCCCCTTTTTCTTTTTCTCTTGACAGGGCTCTTGCTGCTTGGCACATCTGTGCTCACAGTGATGCACTTGCCTTCCCCCCTCATCAGTCTTCCTCTCCCTAGTATGAAGGCCGCGTAACCATATAACTCCCACCTATTGGCAATGGGTTCAATCCTTCCCTGGGCACTGTCATCACTGTAAGGCCTAATCTAGACCTAATGTCCTAGTGAAGACTGCAGCATGAAGGAGAATAGGAGATACAGAAAACTTGTTGCATAGTACTCCTCCAGTCCTCCTATAATTACTCCCTAGTAAGGTATTTGTTTCTATCATACTGGGACACTGCCTCAGCCTTTTAGGACAGCCTCCACTCACAACACCTATTCCATATTTTGAGCTTGGCAGTCAATCCATATGTAGGCCTTCGTTTAGTTATCTGGAAATGACTAATTCCTGGGTAGCCTTTAAAGACATAAAAATAAACTATCTCTTGTGTGTAGAGTTTATGAAGCATATGTTGTTATCTCATTCCAGCAACCTGTCATATAAACAAGACAGGTGCAGCAATTGTTAAATCCTGTTTTAGAGATGAGGAAACTGAGGGCCAGGGAGGCCAAGTAATTTGTCCAAAGTCACATTATGTGTGGGAGTTTCACCTGAACCTCAGGCTTCATAGTTACAAACCCAGTGCTTCTTCCTTTACACTGTGCTATCCTGGGTACTTTCCCATCTTTCTGGGCAAAAACATCCTTCAAATAGCACATGCAATGCAAATTACTAGGATCTATATGTGTGTTAGTGTCATGGGTAGGCTCCACAAAATGGGCCTTACCATGCCACCACATGGAATTCACTGGTAAACATCAAAGAGCACAGATGCCATGTTAGGGCTGTCAGGAACAACCAAAGAACCAAAGATGCTACAGCACCCTATTTTCCTACCTTCGCCAGGCACACTGGATGATCACTGCTGCCTTGTTCTTTTTGCGGAATAGCTCTTTCCTACTTCTTTCTCGCTGGATTATCAGGAGTCGGAGCTCTACAGGGAGAAGGTCAATATTCATGCTCTGCCCAGAGAGGGAACCAGGTGCCAGTTCAGTCTCCTTAGATACCTGAACGTCCTCAGGCAGGGTGGATGTCCCCAGCTTCCTGGATCCCGACCTCAACTCCTCTGTGCTCCATGGCAAATCTGAACAGACCCCTCCTGCCAGCTTGGTCTGTGTCCTCTTGTTTCTTGGTGTGCGATGGTGGAGAGGATTCTGCCCAGCATGGACCACCTCTCCCCTGGCACTGCCAGGTCGGCTAGAACCAGCCGGGGAGCCCCTTCCTCCTTTGAGCTCTTGAACGCGTCTTCTCTGGGGGACACATTTGGCTTTGGGTGCTGTGTCATGCTGCCTGCTGGGCTTCCAGGGGCCATTCTGCTGTGGAAGGCTTGCAGCTGCCCTATTGGAGTCCTCTCCTTTCTCATCAGGGCCAGCCACCCTGATACAGGAGGGCTGCTTCAAGAAGCCTTTCCCCTTTCCACACCGCTGATCAGTAGCTGTCTCACCTCTGGACTTCTCAACAGAGGAGACTCCTGGATGCCTGTTTCCATCATTGCTTTCACTGGGTCTGAAGTGGACACAGGCAGATTGGTCTTTAGAATGTTCTCTGGATGTATCTTGGGGAAACAAAAGAGGAAGAATATTTATTGTCCAAAACTTGCATCGTAGGAGAATTGTGCTCATTTGTTCACATATTCAGGCTTAGCCTATAGCATCACCATCATCGTGGCCATTATGATTAGGAAAACCACAGCTTAACTTCTGTTTTCAGCATAATCTAAAAGCCTTCACACTTTGAGTACTTGAAAATGTTGACTAGGATGACTAGGATATAGTGGGCATCCTTTTCCCATGCATTAAAGAAAATAAAGGAACTCTCTGGAGGCTAAGAATAAAAAGCTTGGGGAACAAAACTTGCAGACCAGAACCAGCTAAGAAGCATTCTTTTGGATTGTGAGGCTATCTCATTGGTAAATATGTGGGGTACAATTCAGGGTTAGGTATAAAAATGTTCATTATGCAGGTACCCTTGTTGCCCACCCCACCCCACCCCAGCAGTCTCCCACTACTACCAATCCTGCGTCCGTCCTCCCCTGGCAGTTTCCCACTACTGCCAATCCCTTTCTTACAGTATTACGACAGTTGTTCAAGGTCCGCTTTTGAGGGAACATGTGATACTCTGTTCTTTGTTTCTCTGATAGATCGCTCAGTATTATAGCCTCTAAGTCCATCCAAGTTGCTGCGAAGTTAATAATTTTGTCCTTCTTTATGGCTGCAAAATATTCCATCATGTATTAGTACCACATTTAAAAAAAAAATCCAGTCCTACTTCAATGGGCAGCACGGTTGGTTCCATGTTTTTGCTATTGTGAATAATGCTGCAATAAACGTGTGTGCAGATATCTTTTTCACAGAGTGATTTGAGTTCCTCCAGGTGTATTCCCATTAGGGGGATTGCGGGTTTGTATGGGAGGTCAATTTTTAGATCTTTTAGGAATCGCCACACTTTTCCACAGAGGTTGTACTAGTTCACATTCCCAGCAACAGTGTAGAAGTATTCCCTTTTTGCCACATCCTTTCCCGCATCTGTTGTTTCTTGAATTACTGATGATGGCCATCCTGACTGGAGTATCTCAGTGTGGTTTTAATTTGCGTTTCTTTGATGACTAGTGAGACTGAACATTTTTTCATGTATCTGTTGGCTGCTTGTATTTCTTCTTTTGAGAAGTATCTATTCATATCTCTAGCCCACTTTGTAATGGGGCTGTTTGTTTTATTCTTTTCAACATGTTTGAATTCCTTGTAGATCCTAGATGTTAGGCTTTTGTCAGATATGTAGTCAGCAAATATTTTTTTCCCAGTCTGTGGGCTGTCCCCCCTGCTCTCTCAGTGGTTTCTTTGGCTTTGCAGAAGATTTTCAGTTTGATGAGGTCCCATTTGTCTATCTTACCTCTTATGACACTTGGGGTTTTGATCAGGAATTGATTGCCAGTTCCAATTTCCATAAGGGTGTCTCCTGCATTTTCTAAGGTTCTTATAGTTTGAGGTTTTACATTTAGGTCTTTGATCCATTTAGAGTTGATTTTTGCATGTGATATGTAGGAGTCCTGTTTCAATCTTCTGCATGTGGTGAACCAGTTTTCCCAGCACCATTTACTGAATACGTACTCCTCTTCCCAGTGGTTGATGGTGGAGGCTTTTTCGAAAATGAGTTGGTTGAGAAATTGATGTTTTGCTTCTGGAATCTCTATCCTTTTCCATTGGTTCATATGCCTGTTCTTGTACCAGTACCAGGCTGTTTTGCTTATTGTAGCTTTATAATAAAGCTTAAAGTCTGGGAGCATGATGCCTCCCACCTTTTTTTTTTTTTTTTTTTTTTTGCTGAGGACTGTTTTGGCTATTCCACAGTTTCTAAAGTAATTATTCTTTCTCTCTCTCTTAAATGAGAAATTGAAGCTTGGAGAGGTTAAGTAACTTGCTTAAGATTACATTACTAGTAACTGATAAAGTCTAAATATGAACTTAGAAGTATGACTCCAAAGCTTGTGTATTTAGCCAAGATGCTTTATACACACTGTAAACAACAAGAAGGGGAGCATAACTATGAGAGACAATGACGGAATCAACTGCTGAGAGATCTTAGACGAGTCCCCCTTTCTGGTTCTCCGTTTCCTGTTTTGAGGAGGCTGTACTAGAAGCTCTCTAAAGATGCTCAGGCTCTAACATTCTCTGTCTTGAGACAAGGAGGGAGAAAAAGAAGGGGTCAGTATTTCCCATTTCTGGGTTTTTATTTGGATGCCTACATTGCCTGATTATCGGACAGTTGAAGCAGCTGTGACCCTTCTTTTATGTGGCTAAACATAAAGTGGACTCTGGTGTCCTTTGCTTAATTATGTTGGGGTTTCCTAGGAATACGCTGCTTCCGCGGCTCTAGTCAATGGTCAGTCTTGATTCCTTAGAAGTGTCTACCTACTTTCCTTTGTACTGTGAGCTCTTGAGCAGGTGAATGATAGCAAAACCTACCCATGAAACTGGAGCTCCCTTTCCTTACATCTGAATCCATTTCATCAGTCTCCTTCAACTGTCTCCAAAGTCTGGATAGTGAGCGTCTGTGAGACTCTGTTTACATATCTGAATGTAGCTCTTTGCAAAGATCCTTTGTTCAGGACACCACTTCCCACCTTCAAATGAGTGAGTAGCTCACTACCTCAGGATTGTTCTAGGAAGGAACTTTCAAAGCTTTCCCACAGTGACCCATACCAAGACACAAATCTTACATTGTGACCCAGTGTACTCATGTATGCATGCGCGCGCGCGCACACACACACACACACACACACACACACACACACATATATATACGTACATAGATACAACTGAAACAGAACTTATTATCCTTATAATTTACAATGTACTTTGATGTTTTCTGTTGTACTTTATATCATAAAAAATATGCTGGTCCAAACCACTAACTTCATTTCATGAGCCATACATATACATGGCTTGGAAATCATTGTAAAACATGCACTAGGATTACCTTGAGGAGGCCTAACTAGTATCACAGTAATTAAATGACAAAAGGACTGGTTATTAGAAACTAAGAGCATGGATTTCTCAGGATGTGAGGCCACTCTATTAGAATGTGATCAGGTCCACAATAGATCTGATTGGCCTTCCAGCATAACTGCCTCAAGGTGTTTTATATTAAGATTAATATGAACCGCAATTAACCCTGTGTAGTTGCAAGAAGTCTGAAATTTGTAGCATTATCTACAAGAGTAAAAACATGGAACCAACCATGCTGCCCATTGAAAGTGGACTGGATAAAAATAATGCAGTACATATACATGATGGAATATTATGCAGCCATAAAGAAGGACAAATTATGAACTTCACAGCAACTTGGATGGACTTAGAGTCTATAATACTTAGTAATCTATCACAGAAACAAAGAACTGAGTACCACATATTCTCACTCATAAGTGGACCCTGAACAATTATAATACTATAAGAAGGGAATTGGCAGTAGTGGAAAACTGCCGGGATTGGGGGGGAGGGCACATGTCACGTCAATAAGGATACCTGACCTCAACCCAGGTGAAGTGGGAACCAAAGAGGGGCCCAAACTTTACCTGTACAATGACCATTTTGTATACCTAACCCTGAGTTGTACCCTACATCTTTAAATAAAAGTTTTAAAAAAGACTGAAATTACTGTGCTCCCCTTCTTTCTTCTTTGATACCTAATTCAAGGGAAATAGCATTGTACATTTGAAATGACAGGGATTAAGTATAATTCTTGAGGGTGCAGAGTAAACTCTAAGCCAATCAACCTTTAATGGGCGACTTCTAAGAGAGTTCAAGTCAAGAAATATATACCTATGTTACCAATGTTGTGCTCACTGCTCTAGGAGAGAAGCTGATGGTGTGGTCCTTAGTTGATTAGCCTTAATTGACAATTCAGTATAGCTGGCACATAGTGTGGGCTCTATTGGGTGAATGCATGCATAATGATTCAGTGAACTGAGTAGAAGCAAATCTTTGCCAAGGGATTTTGTTTCAGAAAATATGGGTCTGCCCAATAAATTCTTTTCATCATATGTTTAATGACCTCTCATCTCTGAATCTCTAGCACCTAGCTAGTGTCATCCAGCCATAAATTCAACAAATATTTATATGTCAGACATCCTGCAGGGTGCTAGGGATGCAGAAGAGACACATTGCTTCTAATGATAGATGGTTTAATGGTCAAAGATTCTTCTCATCCTAATATGTACTTACCTTTGTAATGTGATTTTACCACATCCTCCATTGAGAGATGGAGTCTGCTTCTCCACTCTCTTAAATCTGGGCTGGTGTTGTGACTTGCTCTGATCAGAAGGATGTAGTGAAAGTGATGTCAAAATTCTGGAGTCTGGGCCTTCAAGAAATCTTGTGGCTCCTGCCTTCTCTCTCTCTCTGAGCACTTCTCTCACAATATGTAAGGAAGATAGTCTAACTTACTGGGGAATGAAAGGCCATATAGAAGATAACTGAGGCACCTTAGCCAATGCCAGCACCAATTGCCAGACATATGAAGAAGACCATCTTGGTCACATCTTATACAAATTCTGCAGTCACATGAGTAATCCAGTAGAGGAACTGCCCACCTAATCCAAGAACTCTGAGAAATAATAAATTGTTGTTTTAAGCCACTTAGTTTTGGGGGTGGTTTGTTATGGCAACACAGAAGTTAATACCTACAAAAGAGAGGTACTGTCTTAACAAAAATCGAAAACCATGGCATTGAATTTGGGACTGATTGATGCACAGAAGCTGGGCAGGCAATGAAGAAAGACTGTTGGTAAAAGCTGGAAGAGTAGAGAAGAAATTGCTGTTGGAGTCTAAAGAGGTGAAACTTGCTATCAGTGACAGAATAATAGGCACAGTTGTCACCTGCGGTAACTTAGAAGATAAAAGCTATACCTAATGAATTTGTAGATCATGGCTCAGGAGAGTTCTAGGTGGAATGCTGAAGAAAATATCAACTGCTTTTTAAGCTACATATGACAAGGTGTAGGAAAAATGAAATGAAGAAAGAACTGCTCAATTTGCAAGCAGAATTTAGAGGAAATATAAAGACCCCTGCATGTGCTGGGTTAGAAAATAAAACTTTAACGTTTTAATTTTTTCCACTCAGCAGAAGACTCCCATAGTAAGATAGGGCCTCAGGATAAAGATCAAATGAAGAGTATGGCTGTACAACCCTTAATGAAGACCTCAAAAATAGCTTGGGTGTGGTAGCTCATGCCTGTGATCTCGGCTATTCCAGAGACTGAGGTGGGAGGATCACTTGAGCCCAGGAGTTCAAGAATAGCCTGGGTAACATAGTGATACTCTATCTCTAAACAAAAAATAGAAAAACTTGGTGGTACATGGTAGGCCCTTTTAGCTAGGCAATTTCTAAGAATCTCAAGATCATTGTCTCACAAGAGGCTGAGCCACTCAGAGTAAGGTTTGTTTGAAAAATAATTACAGATGTGGTTTTTGGATCATGGATTGAACCCAGTCAGATTCACAGGAAACCTATGAAGTTTTTGTGATAATTGTTATCACCGAGAGTACCACCCACTGAACTAGTGAGACAGTTCCAAAACAAAAAGATGCCTGTGGGGACTCAGTGGACTAGAGGCAGGAAACAGGCTGGGAAAGCTACTCAGCTGCAAACATGGGCATTTCTTAGGAAAAGGAAGGACTTTTCAGAGTGCACAGTCAAGAGTCAAGGAGTACAATAGAATAGGAAAGCCACAGAGGAGTAAAACAAGACCTAATCAAGGAACATTTATACCTCAGAGTAGGGGCCCTGGTAATATGTGACCAACTGGCTTTAAGGGCTGCTATGTGCCTCCTATTTGGAACAGAAATGTCTACTGTGGTCATCCTGTTCCTGTCTTACTACTGCTTGCTGGGTTGGAGGAGGGGGAAGGGGTTAATAATGTGTCTTTTTGGTTGACTGGTTTCTGAAAGAGAAAGAGTTCTACCAGGTGATCCTGAGCCACATCTGTACCTGATAAAAGTCTCACTATCCTAGACTTCAAGCATGACATGTTAACTGAGATGAGATTTTGGGGGTCCTGAGGTAGGGGTAAGAATATCTTGCATGTGTGACTAAATAGGAACTGCTCAATAGTCAAAAATTCCCTCCACCCTAGTATGCCCAAAGGCAGAGCCTATTGCTTCACATCATTTATTCTGGGATGGTCTTATAACTTGATTTGATCAATAGAATGTGATGTGTAATATTTAAATCCTGTTTCTAAGGAGATCTTGTAACTTCTGTCTTTGCTTTATGAGAATGCTGTCCTGAGACCACTATGTAAGGAAACCAGTCTAGTCTACTGGAAGATGAAAGTCCACATAAAGCAGAGTTTAGGAATCCCAGTCGCTAGCCAGTATTAATTGCTAGGCATTCAAATCAGTCTGTCTTAAATCATACAATTCAATTGATTGTCCATCTGAATATAGGTACATGAGTAAGACTGGGTGAAATCTGTAGAGGAACTGCCCAACCAAATCATAGAATCATAAATAGTAAATTGTTGTTCTCAGACACTTAGTTTTTGTGTGGTTTGTAATGTAGCAGTAGATAACTGAAACAACCCTACTCTTACAGAATTGCAGCCTAGTGGAAAAAACAAGCCAGTAGTAAGTCAAAGGTGATGATCTTTATAACAGGGAAGTATAGGAGAGATACAGGAAATTATAGCAGGAATATGTAGCCTCATTTAGTGGGAAGGTAATGGCTGTACAGAAAAAGGATTATTCACCCTGAGATCTGAAAAATAAGGTAAAGGCAATGTCATCTGCAAGGAATGCAAGCTAGGAAAGAACTCAAGGAAACTCAACATAGCTGTCACATCATGGGAGCCTAGTTAAAGCTGGTTGAGTGAATAAATAAATATGAAAAAAGGATTATCCTTAAGGATTACATTGCTGACACACTATCACCGTAGATTTTAGAATTATATTCCAGAAACGTTTATGGTCATTTATGTATTTAGGCAGTTATTTTTGGCTAGACTAGCAGTGTGACTTAGTAATAGTTACTGAAGACCTACTATGGGTCATAGGCTATAATAAGTACTGTACATTAATTATTTTATTTAACCCCATACCTACCTTGCAGAGTAGAGAGTAAAGCCTCACTTTATAGCTAAGGACATCAAGGTTCAGAGAGACAGATTGAATTGTTCAAGCCCTGAATTAAGTGAACACAAGACCCCAGAGCTCCTTTCTGGAAGTCTGCAAAGGTCAAACTATTTTCATAATAACTGTAAGACATTTGCCTTTTACACTGTGTTGGCATTTGCACTCAAGATTTTTTGGGATTCCCCACCAGTCTCGAACTTGCAAGAGTGGCTCAATGTGTTTACATTGCTTTGTGCAACATTTTTCTTCTGTGGGTCTGGAATTTTGGCATATGCTAGGTAGAGGGTACCTCAGTGACTACATCCTGATAAAAATCCTGGAGTGATTGATCAGCTGAGCTTTCCTGGTCAACAAAAGGTTGTCTAGTACCTAATCCTGACTTGTACCCCCACATCTTCATCATTTAAAAAAGCAATTAAAAAAAGATGAGGTTGTCTAACTGGTTGTTACTACTTACTGCTGAATGAATGAAGTGTGCTGTGTGTGACTCCATTGGGAAAGGACCCTAAGCTTGCACCTGGTTTCCTCTGGACTTTGCTCCATGGACCTTTTCCCTTTGCTGATTTTCTTTTGTGCCCTTTTGTTATAATAAATCACAGCTGTACAACTATATTCTGAATTCTGTGAGTCCTAGCAAATGATCAAGCCTGGGAGTGGTCTTGGGGACCCTCGACACACTAAGTGAACTCCAAATAGGAGAAACTGCAAAAATCCATGTCAAGACATTAAATTTTCCAAAAACTAAAGATAAAGAAAAAATCTTGTTAAGTAGCCAGAGAGAAATGACATACTACCTACGAATGTTACTGAGGAACACCAATTTGAATGACAGTGGATTTCCCATCTGAAGCCAAGGAGGCCAGAAGGAAGTGGCACAATATTTTCCAAGTACTACAAAAAAAAAAAAAAAACACCAAAAAAACCAAAACTGGCCAAACATGAGTTCTATATCTGGCTTAGTGATTCCTCAGGATTGAAATTAAAACATTCTCAGACAAAGGAAAACTCAAAGAATTCGTTGCTAGTGGGACTACCCTTGGAGACTGGCTAAAGACAGCTCTTCACACAGAAAGGAGATGATAAAGAATCCTGGAGCATCAAGAAGGAAGAAGGACCAACAGAATAGTAGAAATTTGGATACATAAATTAAACTTTTCCTCATGAATTCGATAAGTTATATATGATGATTCAAACAAAATTATAACACCATCTAATACCCAAGCAATGATTCTTAAAAGTGGAGAAGGTAAAGGGACTTAGGTGGAATTGAGCTCTCCACATTTCACTCAGGATGGTAGGATGTTGATATTAGTAGATGGAAATAACATATGTATGTGTATTATAATACCTAGAGCAACCACTACATAAACTGTAGAAAGAAAATCACTAAAAAAACTACAAGTCGATCAAGATGGAATCCTAAAATACACTGAAGTAACCAATAGGAAGAGAAGAAAAAAATAGAGAACTGAGAACCAAATGAAACAAGTATAAAACAAATTACAAAATGGTCAGGGCTAACATAATAATGACCCTAAATGTAAGTGGTATAAATATACAAATCAAAAGAACCCACAGTCCGCGGGTTGGCAACAGATGACAAAGGCAACCCACCTACCATTTGGCTTTCTGGAGTTTGTTCCTTGCAGGTCTGAGGAAGCATACTGCTCCTTCTGGGGGGCTCTGCCTGGAGACCTTCCTGGAGAGCCTCTGCAGTCTCTTGGCTCAGGGACCTGAGCTGTGTTGCCAGCAGGAGGCTGCTTGCCTGGGGCCCAGCTCTGCTTGCTGGGCTCATCCTGGATGCTGGATCCACAGGGAGGAGCTTGGGGTCTGCTAGAATCTGGGCTCTGTCTTCCTTTCTGCTGTTCTGCCTCTTTTCGCTTGTTTTCTTCCTCCCGCTTTCTGGAAGCAAAGCCAAGGAAGAGGAAAAAATTAAGAGTATCACTTGCTCAGGTATCCCTGAGTGAGATTTAATTTTTAAGAAGAGCTACCACATCACAGGAGATATTTGGAAATTCACATTTTCCAGAAGTAGTCTGTTCTCCAGATAAAATTAAAACCTCTTTTATATCAGGTCTTATTGCTCAAAAGATGTTGGAACTGAAAAGAATCTTACAGTCTTTGTGTAACCAGGCAACTTTTTTGTGTGAAACAAAACAACGATGTGTGCGTCCCATGCTTATGTATGATCTCTGGAGCTGCCTATAACTCCACCCCTTTTTCTCCTGTTCCAGAAAGCATGCCGGAATGTAACTGAGAATGACAGTCATAGGGATCACCCTGAATCTGCTCTATACATTTTAAAAAGCCCCTTGGCAAACTTTCATGATTATGTTACAAAATTGCTTGCAAAGCACTTCACAGCTGATTAAAACACCTGTGAGTGGCAGTGCTGCCATTAAAAACTCTTACTAATGAGTCAGACCCACTCATTTTATGGATGAGGCCTAGAAGGAAGGATGATTTTCAAAAAGTCATCCATGAGTAGCTGGAGGCTAAGCCGGAACCACTGAGCAACAACAGAGTGAAGGGGGCCTGGGGAGGAGAGACCACAACTAGAGATGAGAAGCAGGACCAGGAAAATGGGTCTGAAGTAGCCCAGGTGCAGAAAGGGGTGGTGACGAGTTTGAGGATGAAGGGGCTAAGTTAAGGGCAGCATTTGTTTGACCACTGCCATTAATTTGTAGGGATTTCCAAAGGAAAACTAGGAGGGAAAAAATCCTAATTTTTGAGTCTCTCCTCTGCTGGGCACTTGGGATATAGAAATGAGGACCACTGGGTTCAGGTCCTCTCTTGAGGAACTTTCTACCCAGAAGAGGACAGCTAGGAAAACAAAGACGTAACTTATAACAGCAGACAGTCTTAAATTTGTCTGAGGAAATCAAGAAAAAGGTCTCAGCTGTTGATTCTCAAAGATATGTAGGAGTTTGCCATGCAGATAGGTAGAAATGAGGATTTTACTCTGGGCACGGGCAAGTAATACATGGAAAAAACCTGTTTTGCTTCTTCTAATCTTTGAATAGTGCTTGTTGTACAGAGCAGGCACCCATTATGTATGTGCGACCCAGGTGATTCACAGTTACTTCTCAGAAAGGGAATGCGGCAGCCACTTAAAGGTTCAGTTTAAAGTGGAATGATTATGGACATAGTAAAGAAAACCCTGTGCTGGGATGAAAAAGTTTTCTAGTCCTGCTAGAAAAAAACAGTAACTACCAAATGACCTTGAGTGAGTCGCTGTCCTGTCAGAGACTCTGTTTCCCTGGGCCTAACACTTGCATGATAGTCTATAATCCTGGCTTGATTTAGGGATCTGTTTGGAAACCAGCTGTCTACAAAATGTAGGATTTCTTTTGAGATGGAGAGGTTGTTTTTTATCATAACAGCTCGTATCAGAGGCCCTCACTGGGGGACCCTGTTTAGATAAACGTTTTAATAAGCTTGGGAGCAGAATTGAAGACTGGTAGAAGGTGAGACTTCAAAGGAGGTGCCTTGCTCTGAGACTCTAAAGTAAAGGGCACGCTCTGCATGAGACGGATTTATTTGTAGCTCCTGACAGGGAGGAAAGAGATGGAAGAACAAAGGAGAGAGAAAGAATAAGGAAGAGAAGAGGCAAGCCAGAGCAAGGGCCAGGCAGAGACAATCCTCCTATGGTGAGGTGATAGAAAAGGACTTTAGATCTGTGCTCCTCACATTTTAATGGGTCTTATAGATTCTGACTTAGCAAGTCTGGTGTGGGACTTAAGATTCTTCATTTCTCTCTCTCTCTCTCTCTTTTTTTGAGTTGGAGTCTCACTCTGCCACCCAGACTGGAGTGCAGTGACAAGCTCTTGGCCACTGCAACCTCGACCTGTTGGGCTCCGGTGATCCTTCTGCCTCAGCTTCCAAGAAGCCATAACTACAGGTGCGTGCTACAACACCCAGCTAATTTTTGATTTATTGACGAGGTCTCGCCAAGTTGCCCGGGTGGGTCTCAAACCCGTGGGCTGAGGCAATCCACTCACCTCGGCCTCCCAAAATACTGGGATTACAGGCTGAGCCACCGAGCCAGCCCAATTCTTCATTTCTAACAAGCACCCAGGTGAACTAGGTGTTGCCAGCTGGCCCTCTGACCACAGAAAGACAACAGGAAAGTCTAAACTGGACTGTTAACTCTACCATTATGGGGTATGAAATGTACGATATGAAATGCGACTCTCCTCGATGACACTTTTGGTAAGGCCTAGCTTTTTAAAAAGCAACTTCATCAGTGGCAGAGCTAAGAGATCAGACATGGAAGCAAGAACCAAGACATAGAGACCCTAAGCCTCCAAGCAGTTGTGGAATTCAGACTTCCATAGACACAGAATTTGAAGCAAAGCTTATTTAGATCTCAAAGTCAGGGAAAACTCAGCTCGTAGATATCTGGGTTACACTTTGATTTAAACCTGTTTTCAACTAATTAAATTCCCCTTCTGGTTTTTTTTCCTGGGTAGGGCCAAGCTTGCTTATCTAATAGTTGTCCTATCAGAGAAGTTGGCCAGATGGGTTGTGCTAACTCCTGTACAGCTTTAATGTTTTTATTGGCTCAGATTTTGTTACATCTTTTCCAATTGCTGACACTTGGGTGCTACACTGAGGTCTGTAGGCTAGCTGGACAACCTGTCATCTCATGGCCTGAGATGTATATGGATGCACACAGGTGCTATTTCAGTGTGATCTGTCTGGGAGAAGGCTGCTTTTCAGAAGTGGGTGCGTCTGAGTGCCTGAAATGCTGCTAATGGATTTAATAGCCTTGCTCCTGGAAGGCAGAGCAAAGGCTGCACTTTTTACCAGCACCATGGACAGGGCTGCTTTAAGAAAATGATATTGGTCCTCAAGACACACACATGTGGATGCTGTCTGAATTGGCATCCATATGGATCTCACTTCCCTCAAGAGGGGCTCTGAGGTGATAAATTAGACTTAGTTATTTGGGCAGTCTTCTCTTTCTTTTAGAAAACCAAACAACCCTTCTTTTCAATTCCAAGAAGCCACTATGCAGTCAGCCCTGGGCACACCTTGTTACTTCAGATCTTTCTGGACCTCTAACAAAGGCTGCCACATGACCAACAGGGATCCAGCCTTTTAGAGTGATCGCAATGTCCGGGAAGCAAGAGGGCTCGGCCTTCTGGAGGAGACTTCTTTGGAGAAGATTTATGGGGGGTGATTTTTCATTTTGGTAGAACTAAATAAGAAGAATTAGGAGAAAGAATGCATTCATCTGAATATATAACTAGGCCCTGACCTTATGAATAGAATTAAGTAGTACAAAAATTAATGCATTTTGCATTTTAAAAATTTCCCAGGTAGCCTGCAATTATGAAGTTCTTCAGGGCTGTGGTTCTTGATGTAATAGTAATGAAAAAAGGAGATGGGATTAGAATTGGAAATTATGCATAATTTCTATCTATTTTATCTATGCTGCTGCCTTAAAATGAAAGTAGTAGCAGCAATAGCACACACACGATACAGCTCCTGAGTTGAATATGCTCTCACATGTGTGTGTCTTCCTGAGGATAAAGGGCCAGCACGATTGCCCATAGTGAAGGAGTTTGAAGAAAACTCAGATTATTGGGGATGACACCTTTATGTGCTAGATAAGGAAACTGAGGCAGAGAAGTAAATGACTTACCCAAAACTACATGGTAAACTACAGACAGAACCAAGACAGAATTCAGTTGTTTTACCTCTCGGTAAAATTGATCCCAATGACAGAGTTGTTCTTAAAATTTCACATAATTTTCTTCCATCACTTAAAAAATGAATTGGGTCTTTTGGAGAAATTGGAAATATCACATCAAAGTAACCGTTAACAGCATTTAAAATATCTAGCTCTCAATGTACTGTTTAGTCCTTAACTTTTAAACTCAATAATTGTCCTGAAATTTAAGTGTTTTTTAAAGTTATTATGAACTGTGAAAGATCTTTAATCTTCAAGGTGGGGTATGTTATAAACTTGATCTATTTTACTTTAAAGTTTAGAAAACAAATACCAGGAAAAGAACCAATGTTATTCAGGTTGATATGAAGAATTCAGAACAAAACAAAAAATCTGTCCATGCCATAGCAAGTAACATTTCAGCAGGAAATGTATCAGCATGGCAGAATCTGGCTCAAGCCTGTAATCCCAGCACTTTGGGAGGCCAAGGTAGCAGTTGCCTGAGCCCGTGGGTTTGAGACCGGCCTTGGCAACGGTGGTGACCCATCATCTCTACAGTGAATCAAAAAAATTAGCCAGGCGTGGTAGCGCATGCCTGTAGTTCCAGCTACTTGGAAGTCTAAGGCAGAAGGAATGCCGGAGTCCAGCAGGTTGATGCTGGGGTGGCTGTTAGCATGCCACTGCACTCCAGCCTGGGTGATGGAGTGAGACTCCAACTCAAAAAACAAAAAAACAAAAACATGGCAGAATATTAGTGGATAAAATAATCCTATTTTTTCTCTTTCCTTTTTCCTACTATTTTAAAGGAAATTGTCCAGGCAATGGCTTCTGATGGCCTGCCAATGAGTCTAGTTTGCACTGTCTTTTCAGAGCAATTTTTATGGCTCCTCAGAGGCTCACAGTATAATAAAGTGAGAAAGTCAACTGGGATCTTTGACAACATCTGCTCCAAGTCTTGTGCCACAAGGTGAAGAGGGGTCTCCAAAATTTGAGCTGACGGAGCAGTGGCTGTTTCACCCAGGGAGAAAAGATTCAGGGGATATATTCTGCTTCAAATCTCGGTAGGCCTGTTGTAGGGCAGAATCATGCCCCAAGTCCTCCTAAAACAGACCTAAGACCAAGGATAGGGATTCCTACAAATTAGTAGCCTGGATGAAAATTTAGTAATAAAGGGGCTGATAAGAAGCTGAGTGATCAAAAGATGACTTGGGGTGCAGAGAACCAG